CACCCACAAGACAACTTATCCATGGCTGAGGGGATGAGGTCTGGCTGTCGGCAAGTCAACCCATGCATAGGTAGAAGACCAGCTATGTAAGCACTCTTAGTAAAGACTGAACCCTGAAAAACATAGATCTTGCCAGGTTCTCTAGGCTCCTGAAACATTGCTTAGCAAAAGATTGTGTGTGAGTTAGCATGGCAAGGAGGTAAAAGAGAAACTAGCGGGAGTTATACCTTGTGGCTCTGTTCCTAGAGTGTTGTGGAATATTGGTTTAAGTTGGGTGACATTTGTTTAGGCTGTGGAACATGTGTTTAATGATGCAAAGATGTGTTGCATTCTTTTATGTTGCATTTGTTTAACTCTGTGAAGCTGTGTTACTTTGCCTGTCTAAAACACCTAATTGGTCTAATAAAGAGCTGAACAGCCAATAGTTAAACAGAAGAAAGGATAGGTGGGGTTGCCAAGCAGAGAATACATAGGAGAAATCTAGGGGACAAGAGGGAGGAGCAAGGAAAGGAGAAGGAGAGGAAGATGCCAGAGTCCAGCCACACAGTCCATCATGGAGTAAGAATGAGAAAAGGATATACAGAATAAAGAAGAAATTAAAAGCCCAGAGGCAAAATGTAGTTAAAGAGAAATGGAATAATTTAACTTAGAAAAGCTGGCTAGAAATAAGCCAAACTAAGACTGGGCATTCACAAGTAAGAATAAATCTCTATGTGTTTATTTGGGAGCTGGGCGGTGGGCCCCCAAAGGAAAAACAACAACCAACTACACCAAAAGAAACACTATGTTTGGTCCCTGTGCTAAGACTAACTGTGAGACTTGATAAATAAGCCTGTTTTGACTGTGGTCCCCAGGACCTCAACTACTGCAAACAGCCAAGAGCCTGGGTCATAGAAGCCTATATGTCCAGGAAGAAGCATAGATGTGGGGTGCTTCTGACACAGGACAGTGGAGGCGGTGCCAAGATAGGGCCAGAATCAATCTCACGAACCTTTGTTGCTGGACTTGGGGCCTCTTCTTGGGACCCAGGGTCTGATGTGAGTGCATCCTGGATCCTTTACAAGCCTTCCTTTTACTGTGAAATTCCTTGAGTAGGCATCTGCCTGGATATCAAGCAGTCTCTAAGATCCGTGGCATTTCAGGTCACATGTACATCCCTTTTTCACCAAGCCAAAGGGCAGAAAAAACTCATATCCTAGCATGCACTGTTTTCGTCATTTGTACCAAGAGGTAACCATTACTGCAGTTAAAGGAATAAACCCTGTATGGTGGGATTTCCATGCTGTGCTGCTAAAAACATATGATGTTGAGGCAAAAGAAGCAAATTACAACTATATCATCGAGATGTTCCAGCCTTTGTAAAATATGAAAGCATATAAGACAGAAAAGTTCATGGGTTTCTGCAAACACACCTCTAGCAATTAGAATCCAGTGGCGTACAAGCCTTTGGTCAGTGCTTCATTTGTAAATCTGGACTCTTTAAATATATGGAAGAAATGAAGGAAATATGCTATTTGTATAACCTCTGTGGCAAGTCCATGGGTATTTCATCTTACTTCCTATAATGTTCTATGTTTGTACTGTTTCTTAATCCTTACTAAATCATGTTTTAATGATTTTTTTTATTCCAAAATGTTGGGCTGAAGTTGCATGTCAGAATACCCTGTGACCCAGTCACTCTACTCTGAAGGATACACTCCATAGAAAGTTTGAGGCTACTTACCAAAAGAGCCACACAAAGAATGTTCAATCAGTGATGACTAACATCTGACCCACACACCAGTGAGCAGAGAGAATGAGTGAACTTGGGTGTGCGTAAGGGACTCACACTTTGCAGTGAGAGGGACCAAACCAAGAGTATAGGGCTTACACATATAGTGCTGATGACAAGAGTTAGACTGGATAAAGCTAACATACACATTGTGCTGAGGGAGAGAACAATACCTACTGCATGTCTACTTTGATACAAAATTCCACAACATATGAATTGGAACATTCTGGTATTCAAAGTCAAGATAATGCATATTTCTGAGGTAGCAGTGAGTAGAAGGCACCAGGGGACCTCTGATGTGATTGTGTGCATTTGTGCGTGCCATGGCATGAGTATGGTGGTCAGAGGAAAACTTCAGGGAGTCAGTTCCCTCTCCTTCTACCATGTGGGTCATGGGATCAAATTCAGGCAAGCACCTTTACCTGCTGAGGCATTTCATTGGCCCATGGAATATTCTTCAATCCAGATGTGGGTCTAAGAGTGTGTTCAGTTTATAACAAGTCACAAAATGAGCACTTGGGACATGGTACACTCTTCATTGGGTTGCTGCATCTGATGATATAGCTCACATTAATATTTTTCCAAAAGTAAAAGTGAAGGCACCTTAGTTGGAATGCTCTCTGCCTAGGGTATTACATGGAAGCCATTCTCAGCCTTTAATTTCTCAGCTTGGATCCATCCATTGATCCCTAGTGTTGTAACATGCTCTATAGCAAACATGAGCTGATGGACTGGAATGGCCTCTAAGTGGCCACAGTCGGGGTGGCCTGTGGGGCTCCGTTAATGGTATTTCATACAAAGTTGACTTGCATCTCTGCCTCCCTCCAATGTAATGTCCATTTTTAGCCCTGGCCCTATGAGCAAACAATTTAACTGACTTCAAAGGAAATTAAACTCCCCCTACTTGCTCTTGAGCAGTTGGGCCTACCACACTCAGGAACCAAGTACCTGGGTTTCAAGGCAAAGACCTTCCGGTGAGCCTTCAAAAAGACAGAGCTCCTTTTATGTCTCCCATGGGAGCCTGGATCTTGAAGAGCCTTTGAGCAGAGCCCTACACAAAGCAAGGCAGAGCACCCTCCAGAGGGCACCCACATAGCTCATGTCCCTAACAAACGTCACTAGTCATCAAGGCCCTCTGACCCAGAGGACCAAGGAAGTCTCATAGTCCTCTCCACCTCTATACCTCTCTGGGAAGCTCAGAAGATGGTCTAGCAAAAAGACTCTTCTCTGGCCATGCAAGAGCCCTAGATGTGTGGGATATGCAGTTCAGCAATTGGATGCTTTCTGAAAACAAACATACAAAGAGCAGACCTTCTGAGCCAGGCAAGGTGGCACATGCCTTTAACTCCAGCACTTGGTGAGCAGAGGCAGGCAGATCTCTGTGAACTTGAGGCCATCCTGGACTACAAAAGCAGTTCCAGGACAGTCAGAGCTGTTACACAGAGAAACCCTGCCTTAGGGGAAAAAAGAGTAGCCCTTCTGCCCCCATATCATGGCCACTTGTAGTCAAGGCTGCCATCTCACAGCTCCAGGGCAAGCCAAGCACCAGACATACAATGGGGGTGGCTTCCTTTGAACAACATGACAGCTATGCCCATTGGGAAGCTGTGCCATTTCTGCACAGAAAACCCTCATTCATTTCTTCAAGAGGTTTGTAGATCTTGGTGTCTTGGCTTGACTAGCCTATGCACACTCACAATCCCTGGTCCAACCCCAGGGGTTTCTGAAGCTACCTGAGGGTGAAGAGGGGAGGCTGAGGTACCCACAGTCATCCATCTCTGAACACATCTCTGGCCAGGGAGGATTGATACTGTGCATCCTGTAGCTCAGATCCAACTATCCAAATGCCCCTATTGGCTGAGATGGCACACAGAACCCTCGTCTCCTCAGACAGCATGGTTACTACATCACGGTTAACCCTCATTTAATGCCACTGACTGCATTTCTGATGTGATGAGCCTCTCAACCCAAGGCAGAGCCCCGAGATTCCTGAGATGACTGCTGTGCAAGCTAGCTCACCTGCCTCCACTCAGCACTCCACTCCTCCCGGGGACCCTCCAGGATACTCTTCCTTCCCCCACTCCACCCCCTCACAGCTCAGAACAGGACCTGACAAAAGCCTTCACAAGTTTTCATTCCATTTCCTTCTGCAATTTCAGACCTAACCCTCCAGGCATTTGTGCTGAGGTTGTAAGATGAATCCCAAGCTGGAAATCCTCTCCTCTCCTCTCCCCTCTCTTTCCCTCTCTCCACCCATGTATGTATGTATGTATGTATGTATGTATGTATGTATGTATGTATCTATCTATCTATCCATCCATCCATCCATCCATCCTCTATCTTATCTCCTGAGTGTCCACAAAGTGAGCATGTGGCTGAAGTGAAAATGAACAAAGGGACCTTGCTCCCCAGCAGCTGACAAGCAGACTTTTTCTGCCCCAGGGCAGGGTCTTCTCAGAATTGAAATCTCCTCCTTCATGTTACATTTGGACCCTCACTAAAAAGTCCCTAAATCGCACAAGGTCCTAAGTTCACACCATGACCTGTGCCAAAGGGCCACAGGCAGAGATGGATCTACAATGGGGGGGGCACCTTGTCAGTATATTTAGCCTTAGATTTGTAACTAATTGGAGAACAGTGAAAATTCTGGACAGAAAAAAAAAACTTGCATCATTGGCTCAGTTACAGGCTCTGCAATGTTCGAGACAAGAGAGGAGAACCCAAAACACAGCAAACATCTGGAAAATTCCAGGAGGTAGAAGCAAGCAACAAGGTTGAACAGGCAAAGAAGTCTGGGCACTCATTTCCTTGTGTTGACGTATGGAAAAGAACATAGCCTTCGGGGATGCTGATATGAAGATCTCTTCTCATACGGAGGAAACTGAACCCACAGGTCATGAAGAAGTAACTTTCCTGGCTGCCAGGTCTGGCCAATCCCCAACCCCACCACTGGTCTGCCTAACAACACAATGAGCCAATTCTCTGAAGCTTGAGACCCACCCCAAGATCCCCTCCCTCCCCTTCTCCCACACCCTTCCCCCTGCTCCCAGCCTCCCACCCTGTCCATTCCTCAGAGGGGGTAAGGCCTTCTTTGGGGAGTCAACAAAGCCTGGCATACCAATTTGAGGCAGGACCAAGCTTCCACCTTGTATGAACCTGGTTTTTTTTTTCCTTGTGCTGTCTCTCAAAAGATAAGAAACTGATCTTCGAGAAACTGGCAACAGCCACCTGAAAGGCATGGCCTTGGCTCCAGACCAAAGGGCACAAATGAATGAGGTTGCTCTCCCATAACTCCTACCCCACCAGGATGTCAGGGCAGCTGCTAAGAGTAGTCCCCAAAACGCATAAAGCATAGGCATAGAAGAATGGAAAGCTGGCTGTGGTCAAGCGCCTGGTGTGAACTCAGAGTCAAGGTGGGGGTTTCAGTCGGTGCTTCACCTGGGTTCCCTAGCAAAAGGTCTGACACAAACACCTGTGTCACAAGCTGCCATGCTAAAAGCTTGGAGGGGGTGGGGTCTTTAAGAGGTGGAGCCTAGTGAAAGGTCTTCAAGGGTCAATGAGGGCATGCTCTCTGAGGCAACTATGGTACTTTGGTCTTTTTCTCCCTGCGCGCTTCTTGGCTACCATGAAGTGAGTAGCTTTCGCATGTATTAAAGGCTTGGTCCCTAGCTTGTAGCATACTGGGAGATGATGGAAGGGTTTGGGAGGTGGGACCTAGTGGGAGAAAGCGGGGTCACTAGGTCACTTGAGGAACCCAAGTCATTTCCATCTCTCTTTCCCTTCTAGCAGTCATGAGGTATGCAGCCTTCTCCACCACATGCTGCCCCCACTCAAGCTCAGCCCAAAGCCAAGAGCTGAGAGGCGATGGGCCGAAGCTTTCCTCTCCTCCTTTCAGTTGACTTTAGATTTTTGTTGCGGTGACAGAAAGGTGACACACTGTGCAAAGGGGATACCTGGTGAGAAGAGGCAGCAGCCAGGGGACTAAGCAAACCTAAACAGAGACACCGACTCTACTAAAGCCCACAGCCATGGAGTGGCCAGCAGTTCTAAAGGGTTTCCCGAAAATGGACAACCCAGGAAAACTAGGCAAGTTGTTCCTCCCACCTTAACCCAACCCCACGGGTTATCTCTGCTGCATAAAAGCCACTGCAGGGTGCTGCACAGCTGTCTCCCTCACTTTGAAGCAAGCAAGGGACCTGGCTTCTGAACTCCAGGCAGAGGTCTTTGGCCATGCCTCCAGCCCAGGCACCCCCTCCCCCCACCTCTCAGCTATTTCCCAGTAAAGTGGAAACCATCCAAGGAGGGCAATCCCCTGAGGCAGAGGCAACTGTGAGCTGGTAGACACCAACTCCTATCCCCACTCCAGACAGATGGGAGCACCAGCCAGATCAAGGGGCTCTGCTGCCGGTGCCTGCTGCTTGGAGAGGTAAAAGCCACCAGTACCTGAAGGAGGCCAGATACTCAGCCAACACAGCTGTGAACAGCCCTCCAGCAGGCATCTCCAGGCAAACGCAAGCTTCCCTGGGAGGAAGGGCTGGAGTTTCTGCCACCAGGCTATATGTTCAGAGGAGAAAGCCACAGGGGCCAAGGCATGGGATGGGGGATGGGATGGATAAACGGATTCGTTTCTGCAGCCCTGTAGAGGTTGATGGCTGAGGGCTTCACTGGTGCTTCTTTGGTGCAAGCAAGAGAAAGGCTCTGGGTTACATTCAGGGTTCTGTCAGCTATCGACAACATGAGGCACAATAACTCATATTTATACACTCCAGCCACATTCCACATTCAACAGAGCTTTGATAAAAACGAGAAAACACTCTCCCATCCATAACCACCAATCAGCTGTCATTTTTCTTTTCAAAATACAAGGACTCCTTAGTGAGATATGCAGTCGGATGAAAGTTATTAGTTAGCACCTTTAAAAGGCGAGCTATTGTGGAATGAAGAGAGGCTCAAAATGCAACACATTTCTAAGGTGCATGGTGGGGAGTCCCAAGATTTTGGGCAACAAGCATTTATTGAGTTCCTATTATGTAAGAATCTCAGTGCTGTGGGCTGAGGAAAAAGGGCCAACACCCTGGTCACTGGGGATCTGGATATGGACAGGCAAATACCTACAAAAAGTTGGGGAATTAGAGAGTAACACCAGCTGTGTTCCAAGCCAGGTGTTGGGATGAGAGGAACCCACAGGTTTCCCCGAGAATCTGTTCATCACATATCGGGAGCGATCATTGTTATTTAGAACCCCTTGTAAATATTGCCAGCCTTTTTAAAGAATAGTCCATCCCCTCCCCAGTTTCCTAATGAATAGAACTTGGGATCACAGGAATAGCTGATAGCAAAAAAAGGAAATATTCCACAATTAGATCACTTCATCCCTCCCCTTAACCTTGCCAACACCTGTTAGCTGCTCAACTCCAGTGACCTGGTTGCTAGGCAACGACCCCTCCCTCATTGTCCTGCATTCTTCCGCCCCATCTCCCTACCTCATTTCCCCTATATAAGTCTGTACAAAATTCTCATGAAACACAGCTTGATCAGCCATGTTGTCTTGCTGTCCATGTCTCTTGTCTCCTGTCCCCTCATTCCAGGTTTCTCTGGGCAAGACTGTCGTTGTGCCCTGCTGGCCAGGGTAATCATAGATGAAGAGTATGTCAGAGTGAGCCAAACATTGCTAATGGCCCCCAACACCTGCCCTCCCTTCTTCCCAATGTTTAGCTGGACAAAAGGGCACAGTGACTGAAACTACATTTCTCAGGTCCTTTGCAGTTATGTGTAACCATATGACTAAGTGTGCTAACCAGTGACAGTAAAGTGTTTTGTGTGACTTCCAGGAACTATTCTTAATTAGAACCAAGCCTCTTTTCATCCTTGCCTCCTTCAGGCTGGTTGGTGGATGACAGAGGTAATGGCTGGAGCTTGAGCAGCCATTCTGGACTGTGGTATGAAGCTATTGCACTGAAGATGGTGGAACAAAACAATGGAAGTAGCCTTTGTTCTGGAACAACTTAGTGGACCAGCTTGAAGAGCTGTGTGACCCCTGCTTCATGCTCGGAGAAATAGACTTCTGCTTCATTGCTAGTTTGGATTTTCTGCCAGTCACAACCAAACCTAAGCTCACAGGTCAAAACCCTTCGGGAGCCCCCATTCTCAAACTAGCTCTTTTGTATTCTAGAGTGCAGAGCTCAAAGGAATAGAAGACTTTCTGTCCCAGCTGTGGCTAGTGACATCAACAGGTGTCTTTTGGCTTTTGGCTTCTTGAGGATCTCACCCTAAGCTCATGTTTCTCAATGAAGACAATGTAGATGGCCAATTGAAACACTGAATTGAGGGGGCAGGGATGGTGAGGGGGGTCTTGCAGCTACCTCCGCCAGACTCAGTCCATACTGGGGGAGTAACCCCTGGTTCAGGGATCCCTGTGCTAGGTCAGGGCCACTACCAGGCTTGCTTGGCAGCTCTGCTTCCACTTGTGCCTATACCAGCTTCCTTCTCCAGGGCCTCTCTCAGTTCCTGGGACCTCTCAGAATCTACCTGTCATACTGAGGAGGCCCAGCCTGCCGTATGCCCACTTTTCATCTGGCCTCTGTTCCAGCTGTTCAGGCTCTTCCTTCCCTTTCCATCTCTTCACACCAACACTGAGTGTGCAATTGGCACCTAATGCAATTAGCACAAAATATGAGCTTTTCTGTGATGCTAATGGAGTCCTCTCTGTGAAGTGGGGGGAGGGGTTTCCAAGTGGTCCATGGGAAGCAACTCAGGTAAAATGGGCCCTGAGTGGAAAACCAGGAAACCTGGCTTCCCAGACCACTTTTGCTCTCAGAATGCTGTATGGCCTCTTGTCAACTATTCGACTTCTCTGTGCTTCAAAGGCTGCAAGTAGAAGACAGAACTTACTTGGACTTGAGGACCTGCTCACAGCTAATGCTGTGTTGGTAACAGGTTCATGGGTCAAACATAGCTTCTTGTCCATTTTTGTAAACAGAGTTTTCTGTAGTGAAGCCACACCTGAGTGTTTGATTCTGGCTGCTGCCAGGCTACTATGGCAGCAGAGTCAAGGAGCTATGACAGAACCTGATAACCTATGAAACCCACCCTTTTTGCTTGCTGACCACTCTGCCAAAAAAGCTGGCTGAGCTCTGTCAAGGAGCCATGATAACTCTTGCTTCAAAACATAGGACCTCACCAGGTGGATGTCACATGCTTGGAATCTCAACGCTCCAAGCATGTGGATGTCAGGCAGGAGAATCTCAAGTTTTGGTACAGACTGGGCTACATAGTAAATACAAGACCAACCTGAGCTACATAGCAAGTGCAACTCTGTCTCAAAAAATAAATAAATAAAACAAATAAACAAAAGGAGGGGTGATGGGGGATGTCTTTCTGTATATATTTTCTCTTATTGGTTGGGGAATAAAACACTGGTCAATAGAGGCAGGAAGATAGATAGGACTAGGAGGCAAGAATTCTGGTAAAGGTAGGCAGAGAGACCCCACCAGAAGGAGACGCCATGTACAGACTGTGAAGACAGGATGTGCCAGGCATTCTCTGATAAGATGAGGCCTTGTAGAAATACATACTTTAGTAATTATGGGCTAATAATTAAGAGAGAGGTAGCCAATAAGAAGTCCTAGCCATTGGCCAATAATTTATAATTAATATAGCATCTGTGTGCTTATTTGGGGCTGAAGGGTGGCGGGACCTGGTGGGACAAGGAACTCCAGCAACGGGGGGGGGGGGGGGGGGCATCCAGATGGCTCAGCAGGTAAAAGCACTGACTAGACAAACCTGACAAGCTGAGTTCGGTCCCTGGAACCCACAGTGGAAGATGACAACTGCCTCCCAAAAGCTGTCTTCTGACCTCCCCAAGGCCCTGGGGCCATGACATGTATACACACACACACACACACACACACACACACACACAAACACACACACACACACAACCTCTTAGGTACAGAGCCAGCTCCACTACTGGCCTAGTAACCAATGGGGTTGGGCCAGCAATGTAGCTCAGTGGGTAAAAGCATTTGTTTCAAAAGCCTGAGAATGTGACTTCCATCCCCAGATCCTATGGTGGAAGGAGAGAACTGATTGACTTCTTTGTGCACAATAATAAATAACAACTAAATTTAAAACAAACAAAAACTTAGGAGGGTAGTCTGTGCATTCATTCAACAAATACTTAATAGATGCAAAGCTTCCATGGAGACACTGGAGGCTCTGCTGTAAACCACGCCAGCCTCTTTTCACCCAGAATGAAGAAGACAGGAACATTAATAAATACATGTGGGTGGGTGAATGCTGCATAGAAAATTAAAGTAGATCATGAGACAAAGAAAGGGCGGTGACGTGCGGCTCAGACTTTAATTTAATGGACTCTATTAAAAAAAGTACAGAGACAGCAGCAAGTGCAAAATTCCTGAGGCAGGAATTGAGCAGCTCTGTTGTCAGGCACATAAGAAAGCCAACAGGGTTATGGTGGAGATAGGAGGTGAAGTCAGCATCATCATGGGGGTTGGATCCCGGGGCATTGGAAAGATTCTAGCCTTGACTAAAAGGAAAAAAGCACTGGGAATATACAAACCATATGACCCAGCTATGCCTCTCCCGGGTATTTACCTGAACATGAACACACCACAGGCACACTTGTACATCAGTGCTGAGTGCGGCATTAATCACCACAGGTATGTTATAGAAGCAACCTGGGTATTGCATGGCTTTTTCCCCCTTATTTTGTGAGCCCTAGATTTTATATAGATAAAATCATGAATGTATGTATGATATGAAAATAGAAATGAAACTGTCTGGGGGGACAAAGAAGACTAAGAGGAGCAGAGAAAATAAGGGGTATTCGGGGAATATGCTCAATATACAGTATATACGTGTATGAAAATGGCTTTATGTAACCCAGTATCGTGTGTAATGAATATATACCAATGAAAATGAAAAATAAATATTTTTAAAGGATTCTAGCCTTGACTCTGAGAACACTTCATTATCACAGGAGAGCTGTGTGCAGAGAAAGAATATTTGGTGTCAGTTTTGGCTTCAGGAGCAAAGACTGTGGAGGCTGGGCAGGCAGCAGGAGCCAGATGAAGGGTGATGGTGGCTCAGAGCATCGAAGTGGCCACAGGAGGAGAATGGTGGATGTTCTTTCCAGTAAGATCCAACAGCAAGGTGCTTGTTTCAGAAACAGGGAGGAGAGTGGCAGTCTGGCCCCATCCCTGCCTGTCCCCAAGCAGAGTAGCTTGTCCTAATGTTGCCTTCTTGATGCCTAGAATAGAAGGTATTTACTATCAGCTGTTTCTGTCAGAAATAATTGACATGAGCACCAGTGGTAAGGGAAAGATCTTCTCACCAAAGTAGAGTCAGCATCTGGATACCACAGCAACAATACCCCTAGGAGGCACTGTGTGACCAAAGCTCCAGGGTCCCTTTGAAGGGACACAGGCAGACAGTGTGCTCCTCAAACCTAAAGCATCAGGTCCTTCCTTGTGGGGAGCCGCCCCCACATTCTCCGTTACAAGATGGCGCTGACACCCGTTGTCAGTTGGAGTAAACAACCTTGGTGCACACGTGCCTGCTACTTTTCCATCCCTTACTCTCTGCCTCTCCCGTGGCGTCATATGGGCTGACGAGCAGGAGCCAGTCAGGAGATGACACGTCCGAGGCGGGGACTGCTGAGCTATATAAGGGTTGGGCTTTTTGCTCCCCGGGTCTGTAAGCTTATGCTCTCCCTCTCAAGACGCATTAAAGCTGTTCTGCAGAAGGATCCTAAGTGTGCAGCGTCGTTCTTGCTGGCGAGACGGTAGCGCGGGACATCTGGTGCCGAAACCCACACTTCCTCTGCTTGGAGCCCTCTCAGATGCCTTGAGTTAAAGGTCAGCTAGAGCTACTTTCTTTATACCCTGGGCTGACCCCAGGAACTCGGAGAAGCTGTAGAATAAAGTAGAAATTACACTAAGGGACATTTAATGGTACTTCAGGCAGCTCCTGGAAGACTTCAGTGCCAACCATGCAAGCAGCTGTAAACAGAGGTTTTCTGTCCCACCAATCAGCTCAGTCCTGCCAGTAGGCTCCCCAAATAACCACAAAGAAACTTATTATTAATGATAAATGCTCAGCAGATAGCTTAGGCTTGTTACCAACTAGCTCTTTCAAGTTAAATTGACACATAATTCTTATCTATGCTCTGCCACGTGGCAGTATCCTTTTCCAGAATGGTATATTCATCTCCTGCTTTCTCTGCTTCTGGCTGGCAACTATGCCCTCCTTCTTCCCCATGTTCTCTTTGTGTCTGCAAGTCCCACCTAAAATGTGCCTGCCCAGCTATTGGCCATTCAGCCCTTTACTAGACCAATGAGAGCAACAAAAATTCACAGTGTACAAAAAGATTGTTCCACGGCAAGCAACCTGTTCTTGAAGGTCAGCATGAGGATGCATCCATTATCTGAGCCTTCAGATAGCTCCATTCCAGTTCCAGATCTGGCCAAGGCCCACTAGGACCTGCCTCCAGAGCCCTTCTCCAGTTCCTATCCATGAGACCATGAGCAAAATGAAGCCTTAAAGTTTGACCACAGGTTGTTATGCAGCCAGCAATAGTAATGGAAATGTAGATGAACAACTGGGTATGGTTATAGGTGTCTGTGGTTCCAATATTCAGGAAGCTGAAGCGGGAGGATTGAGAGTTCAAAGCCAGCCTGGGCTACAGAGTGAGTTAAAGCCAGCCTGGGATATAGAAAAACTCTTCTCAAAAAAAAGAAAAGAAGAGACGAGGAGAGGGGCCAGAAGGGGAGATGATAGAGGAAAAGGAGAGAGGAGAGAAAAAAAAGAAGAGAGAAGAAAGAGTATAGGGAAGGGTAGGGAGGAAGGGAGGTGGGAAAGGGGAAGGGATGGAGAGAGAAGGAGAGAAGATGGGAGGGGAGGAGAAGAGAGAGGAAGGGAGGGAATGGAGGAGAGGAGAGGGGAGGGGATTGAAAGTGAAAGGGAGGGGAGTGAAGGAGAGGGGAAGACAGGGCAGGGGAGGGGAAGGGGGAGAAAAGGCACTTATTGTTGCAGAAGGGCTTTGGTAGACTAGACCTGGTGGTCCCCTGATTCCCACTTACACACAGACAGGCAACTGTCACAAGAACAGACTAAAGCCATCATTAAGCTCTTCCCTCCTCCAGAACACCCCAATGGATCACCTGAAGATGGGGCCTTGAGTAACAAGCAACTGCCCCTGAGTTAGGGTCTCTTTCTTGCTCCTCTATGCAGATGACAACACAGGGGTTGGAGATCACCACCATGGACTGAACAGCATATGATACCAAGCAGAGAGTGGGGGGCCCCCGAGTCCAATGAGGGAGAGATTTATGGTTCTCACTCCCCATCTGCAAAGCAAAACAAAAATAGCTGAAAAGCCGGTTTTCTGCTTTAGCGCCTCTGTGAATAAGCGTATAAATTTCGGTGACATTTCTGGAGGCTTGCTGAAGGGGAAAAAAGCCATCCCCAGGATGCGGCCAGCAGCAGCGACAGCATATGGTTTGCTGAGAGCGGAGGCAGAGAGCCTGTGAGTGCTGGAAAAGGTGACTTTGCTGGGAAATTCAGACACAAGGCACAGTGGCCATCAACCCCCTTCCTCTTTTTTTTTAAAAAAACTTTTTCCATTTTTCATAGAAGAGGGAGGAGGAGGAGAAAAAGAGAGAAGGAGAGGAAAGAGGAAAAAGAACAAGATGATGATGATGATGACTACAACGATGACAATCTACTACAAAACAGCCACTAACTCCCATCAGTCCCAAGCAATGAGCAGCTGTATTGGGTCCCTGGAAAGTATGAAGAAAGTCTTTAGGATTTCATCTGCCTTGGGACACCGGATCTTGGCCTCAGGCACAGGAAAAGGGCATTCTGGTAGCCAGCTCATAGAAAGAATTTAGAAAGAAGCCCTAGGGTTGAGGAAAGAGCTGGATAAATGGAGAACCGGATGGGGGACCACCTTTCCAATCTCTCTGGATCCTCATCTCCAGTAAGAATTCACGTGGGAAGTGGGGAAGACACATCTCCTGTCATTTGGCAGGAACCAGAGCTGGTGTTATAACCATATCAGCCTGGCCCACAGAGCATGCCACACCTCCAACTAGAGGGTAGAAACAAGGAAAGCTGTGTGCAGCTTCTGGGAGTGAAGACCAGTTTACATATGTCACACTTAAATTGGATGCTTATCCAGGAGGGTGGGGTGTACCTGCCATTCCAGCACTTGCCGGAAAGGCCAGCCTGGGCTACATAGGAAGACCCTGTCTCAGTCAAATAAGTGAGTGAATGAATCAACAAACAAATGAAGGTGAGGGTGTAATGATCTCAGTAGACCCAAGATAAATGATAAATGGGTGTTCACTGGGGAACACTTACACAGAAAGATATAAAGAGCCATGGGAGAGCCTCTCTGCCCTTCCTACCAAATTAGCTGACCCAAGAGAAAGACAGCACAGAAGGAAGATGTGCCCAAAGGGGTGTGTGGTCACCGTTACAGGTTCACCATCAAGAACGCTACAAATACATTACCTTACATCTTAAACCAAAGAAGAACTTCAATGATGTCTTTTTTTAATTGATCTTGTTTGGATTTTTTAATTTAATCTTATGTGCATGGATGTTTGTCTGCATGTATGTCCTGTGTGTGTGTGTGTGTGTGTGTGTGTGTGTGTGTGTGTGTGTGTGTGTGTGTGTATTGCCAACAGAGGTCTGAAGGGGGCATTGGACCCCTGGAACTGGAATTACAAACAGTTGTGAACAATTATGTGGCTGTTAGGTACCAAATCCAGGCCCTCTGTAAAAGCAGCATGTGTTTGTAATTGCTGAGCAATTTCTCCAGCCTCAATTAGTCTTTGCTGATGTACATTTACACATTGCTTTCAATCTATCACTTACTCTTTAGGATAAATGAATGTATTTGAAACTAAACGGTTCAGGAGAAGAAGACACTAACTGGGCTGGGGGGAGGAGAAACAGTGAAAGATGATCAGAATGGTTCAGAAAAGGGCTGTAGAGAGAGAAAATTGTCCCCAAGCCAAAGAACCTTCTTTGGTCTCACTCTGCAGCCAGGACCCAAGCTGCTGCAGGGCTGAAAAGATGAAGACAGAAACACAGGAAAAAGAAGTACTGCTCCCTCATGTACCCTTGCCCTCAGGGAGCAGCAACTGTGTGTAGGAGAGCACACCCAATCCTATCCTGCATCCTGACCTGCACACAATGTCTTGGATGTTTCTAGAACAAAGCCAGGAGGTTTGCAGAGCGATGCACAAACTTCTTCCTAGGCTTGGGAAGCTCATCACAACTTGTTTGCACCTACTATGCCAGTAGTAGCCACTTTCCTTGTGTTTTGATTTATCCACACACCCTGCTGTGTTGAACACTCTCCCAGCCCCCACTCTCCTGGCTCATGACACCAGGGTTTCTGGGGTTATCCTTCCCACTTCAACTTCTACACCCATAGCAAATTACACTTCCACTAAGACATCTTCCAAGATCCTTCCATAGAATTCCTGCATCCTCTCTCACCTTGTCTTAGCAAACTGTTGGAAGCTGTTACACTTTGCTTGAAGTCAGTTTTGGTCCCTCCTTCCCAAAGCATGGTGTAAGATAAGGATTGGGGAACTGGTTGCTAACTCATAAGGCAAATTCAGGAATCTCAGTGAGGAGCTGGGGTGAGTGAAACTTAACTGGAAGGAAAGCAGATAACCAGAGGAAACACATGTACATCCCCACCTCCACACTCCCCACAGCCCCCACACCCTTTACCAGGCTTTTAGAGCTCAGCTCCTGGGAGAACCCTGAAGGATACGTGTGGTCCCCAGACTCAGGGTTGGCTGTAGGGCAAAGCAGCCTTCCTGGACCATGACTCTGGGGCACTAGCTATCTGGAATTTCTGCTTGTTCCAGTATTGGCCCAGACAAGCTGCCCTGATGCCTACTGAGCCTTCAGGCAGTGGGGCTGAGAGCCACAGCACTTGAAATGGTAAGCAGACATTGTGCTAGAGTCAACCACCACAGCTGCCCAGGAAGACCGGTAGGCCAAGGAGAAGCCAGCACCTGTCGTATGGATTTGTGGTGCCCAGTGGGCCCCCACTTGCCCACCATTTTGTTTGTGGCATTCCCCAAGGTCAACTGTGCTCTGAAAATATGAAAGAGGGAGTTTCAGAAAACATTTCCTAACTTTTAAATAGGTTGCCATTCTTTGACTTACTATAAAACAAGCACCTATGCTGAGAGCTAGCAGCCCCAACTACTAAGTTAA